AACATAAACAAAAAGTAGTTTAATAAAAATTTTGAATGTAAGACACTAAAACCTTGTGTCATGCATAGTAAAGGGTACCCGGGCCGATAGGGTTAATAGAATATAGTTATTCTAAAATGATACCACAGTTAAGCTATCTTCTCCATGTATCTACCTTAGATTTGCATGCCATTAGCTCTGAAACAACTTCCACTTAATGTCACATGATGTAACATAAATTGTTCTACTGCATGATGATATAATTATGTGACAAAACCTTCCACGAATAGGAGGTTGACATACTGCCATGCGCGCTAACTTTCCCTATGCTCTTGCACTTATGAATCTTTATTTTTCTCATCAGCACTGTATTGACCAGATATGTTTAAATTCTTTAGTCTCGTGTTTACTTTTATGCAATTTGCATTGTTAACATTACTCTGATTTTCATTTTCTTTTATTTTAAAAGCTTAAATTGTGATTGTGAATTATCAATGAATCGTGTAACGTGTCTTTATTTTTTTTGTTTGTCAACTTTTCATATATTGTTTTTTTTTTTTTTTCTTACACTGGAAATATCTACTAAGACATTACCTGTTTTGGAAGTATTTATTGTTCAAGGTTCATTTCCCAACATTTTATGCACTTGTAGATTTTGTGGCTTTTTATTTTCACATCGTTATTTTCAGATACGTGTTTTTTGTTTTTTCTTAAACCGGAAGTATCTACTAAGACATTACCTGTTTTGGAAGTGGTTCATTTCCCAACATTTTCTGCACCTGTAGATATTGTGGCCTTTTATTTTCACATCATTATTTCATAAGTGTCAGTAATTTCCACACTGTCTCATGTGAGACAACATGACATTGTTCCTGCTAGTGTAAGAACTATACTGGCGTCGGGTTTGTCTTTATCTTTTGGGAGAAGTGATGACTTTTCTGTGGTGGGTGGTAGAGTCTTTCATGTAGTCTGGAAATTCTTTTGTACCTGACTTACATTATATTTGTTTCTTGTTCACGACTGATGGGGTTTTGCCAGTATTTTTTTCCCACCACCTGCTTTTGTCTAATCTTATACCCATACTGTCTTGCATCTGCCTAAGTCTTATTCATAATTTTGGGACTAGGCCTCAGGTATGTTTCTTTCTTTAACTTTGTAACTCTTTCCCTTCTTCATACTTTTATGTGTTTTTTTTTACTTCTATCCAGATATGCAAGTCCCTATTTGATTACTTTTACCACTACTTTGTATGCATGTCTTGTCCTCCTTCCTTTGTTACCTCACATGACTAGACATAACTTTGTCCTGTATTATCTTTCTTTGACTCCTAAATTCTGGAGTCTTTTTCTTCAAATTTGAGAATCAGATCCTCTGTCTTTTGTTCCTCTTTCGTAGGCTTAAGTATTCCCACCTTCGTCTTACACTCTACCCTTTTTAGTTATTTTTCCACCATTCTGTAGTAATCCACCATTCCCATGGGGGATTTGCAGCAGATGGTCATTCATATGTATTCTTTACAGTTCTGTGTTTATCTTCCTTGGCTTTATCACTTCATATTTGGTTGATCTGTTGCTTGTTACTCGTATGCTTTTGTCTCCCTTTTATCTCATACTAGCTGAAGTACCCATCCAACAGACAGGTAAAATAAAAACTTGTTTGTAACAGAGGATAAAAAATTGTGCTCTATTTTATTTCTTAACATAATAACATTAAAAGTGCAATAAAAATGCATAAATGTATCTATACTGAAAAAGAAAGACATACTGTTTTCAAGAATTCTAACAATAGTGGTTACATAGTTCATTCTAATGCTGAGGGATATACAAGATTGGTAGTTTTTCCAAAATTAGATGGGGAGTCCAACGTCCATGACCTTCCTCATTTCATCCTTTATCACTGTGTCAAATTTGTTGCTGATTTATTAAGAAATGTGGAAACATATGAACACACATAAACATTGACAATAATTTATATGGGTGCTTTCATCTACTATGATTTCCATGGAGTTTTTGTTTTTCTGGAGTCACATTTTAGGGCTGCATGCCAATGTTATTCCTTATCCTCACTGGTTTACTGTGTCTCCTGTTTTCTTTCTTTGCCTCTTTCTGTCTTCTTCCTCTCCTATCCTTGTCACCACTACTCATTCCTATGTTCCCAACCATTCTTTAACCACTCTTAGACTTCAGTGCTGTCAGTCTTTGCAGTAACTGTCCTATAGACCCAGGATCTGGAGTACCCTTCAATGTTTCCCCTTCTCTTCCATTGTCTCCTGTTTCTTCCCTCCTTCAAGGGATCTTGTTTCTTTTCAATATTTGTCTGTAGCAGTGTTGGACCTAATGACTAAAGACCCCACTGGATGGGTTTCTCATCCTTCTCCAGGATTTTATTCCTGTCTTTTTTGTGGTTCCCACAGAATCCATGGACAGGCATCCGGTTTTGGATATTTCATGTCTCACTCAGTTTCTAACTCCTTCAATTCACCATGGGACTTTTCTCACTGTATGGTATTCTTTTGGCCCATGTCTTGGGATGACCAAGGTGGATGTTTATTTTCTTATTGATTATATTCCTACAAGCCTCCTAATGCCATCCTTTTCTCCTACTTCAAGAGGTGGTGCTTCTAGGTTGTTTGATCAACCTGGAGAAGTTTTATTTCACACTCTCTTAGTATCTCATTCATTTGG